CGATTTAATCAAGCCGAGCGGAGCAGATGATGAAGAAGAAGAAGAAGAGTTTGATGAAGAAATGGTGGTCGAGGGGCCGGGAGCCATGGTGGTGGTCGAGGGAGCGGATGAGGGGACCGAGCCTCTGGGTGACGAGGGCGGCACGGGGACCGAGCCTGTGGTCGACGGGACCGAGAATGCTGATTTGGCTGAAAAATCGACTGCGGATTCCCAGAAAGTTAAATGCTTGCTTGATGATAAAAAATTAGATGTTTGTTTTGCTTTTTCCTTTGTTTCTCTTAACCCGTTTTCAAGGTTGTAAGGGTTAAGACGACTACGTATGTAATCGATCGTCTATCGAATTTAACGCCCTTTTGATTGCTTGTCGTTTCCTTTTATCGCTAATTCTCGTAAATGGTTGTGTTTGCATGATTTCTTTTTTTTTTTAAGTTTCTCAACTCGCCTTGTATGTCTTCTCCCAACCCGGCTTGCGAGCTGGTTGAAGTCGAGCAACATTTTAACAGCTTCATAGCTGGTAAACGAAAAGTTTTTTCAACTCGTCTTCTCCCAACCCGGCTTGCGAGCTGGTCGAAGTCGAGCAACATTTTAACAGCTTCATAGCTGGTAAACGAAAAGTTTTTTCAACTCGTCATCTCCCAACCCTGCTTGCGAGCTGGTCGAAGTCGAGCAACATTTTAACAGCTTCATAGCTGGTAAACGAAAAGTTTTTTTTCAACCCGTCTTCTCCCAACCCGGCTTGCAAGATGGTCGATGTCGAGCAACATTCTTAACAGCTTCAAAGCTGGTAATCTACTCCTACTCCCCAAGGGATGTGATTGTTCGTATTGTAGGTGCTATGGAGGATTATGTTCGAGTAGAGTGTCTTAGTTGATTTAAGTCAATTTTTCGGTTGCTAGCTCTGTAGTCTATTCGAGTTTCTCTTTGGGTATAATTCCATGGATTTGTGCAGCGACTTCATAGTCATAGGCTTCGTAGCCTTTGCCGAGATTCCACTCGAGGCATACAACTTCGCCGTTGTTTTAGATCAACTTGTAGTCATAGGCCTCGTAGCCTTTGCCGAGATTTCGCTCGAGGCATACAACTTCGTAGTTATTTTAGATCGACTTCGTAGTCGTAGGCTTCGTAGCTTTTGCCGAGATTCCACTCGAGGCATACAACTTCGTAGTTGTTTAAGATCGACTTCGTAGTCGTAGGCTTCATAGACTTTGTCGAGATTCCGCTCGAGGCATACAACTTCGTAGTTGTTTTAGATCGACTTTGTAGTCGTAGGCTTCGTAGCCTTTGCCGAGATTCCACTCGAGGCATACAACTTCGTAGTTGTTTTAGATCGACTTCGTAGTCGTGGGCTTCGTAGCCTTTGCCGAGATTCCACTCGAGGCATACAACTTCGTAGTTGTTTTAGATCGACTTCGTCGTCGTTGGAGTCAATCGGCTCTATAGCCGTTTCGAAAAATTTGATTTTTCGAGTAATCATAATAAAATCGACATGGAAATGTAAAAGACACAACTTGAACATAAACTTGGAAGTCATTGCATTACTGAATTTGATTAAGCATTGTTCAGTACAAAAGAGTTCAAAATACTATCTTAGGAATAAAAGCGTTTGAGATGGATCACGTGCCAAGATCGCGACAACTGTCGCCCTTCGCCATCCTCGAGTTCGTATGCACCTCTTTCGAGCACTTTGGTGATGGTGTAGGGTCCTTCCCAGTTAGCTTCAAGCTTCCCGACATGTTTAAGAGCATCTGCTCCTTTGAGGACGAGATCTCCCACTTAAAATCGCCTGGTGCGGACATTTCTGTCGAAGGCTGCACGCATCTTCTGCTTGTATTCCATGGATCGCACCCAAGCCTCCTCTCGTCCTTCTTCTATCATATCGAGGGCTTCTTCGATCATCTCGTCGTTCTTCTTTTTCTCATAAAATGTCGACCTGTGAGAATCTAGGCCGACTTCGATACGCAAGAGTGCATCCATTCCGTAAACCATGTGAAACGGCGATTGGCTTGTCGAGCTTCTTGGGGTCGTCCTATAAGACCATAGAGCTGTTGTCAGCTCATCGACCCAAGCACCTGATGCTCTCTCCAGTCTCTTCTTTAATCCATGGAGAATGGTTCAATTAGTCACTTCGACTTGCCCATTAGCCTGGGGGTGTGCGACCGAGGCAAATATTTGCTTTATTCCCATGTTGAGGCACCATGCTTGAATTCGTTTCCCTTGGAACTGAGTCCCATTGTCAGAAATTAGCACTTTCGGAACTCCGAAACGACAACAGATGTTAAACAGGAATTGAATCATCTTCTCCTCCGTAATTTTCGCCAATGGTTCCGCCTCGACCCACTTGGTAAAATAGTCGACAGCGACTACTAAGAACTTCCTCTGCCCTGTTCCTGTCGGCAATGGTCCTACCAAGTCGATTCCCCATTGCGCGAAGGGGATCGGGGTGTTTATGGTCGTCATGTATTCGGCGGGGATATGAGTGATTTGCCCGTGGCGTTGACATTTTTCGCACTTTTGGACTAGCTGTTCCGCCATTGCCCGCATCTTGGGCCAATAGTATCCTGCTCGCAGGGCTTTGCCCGCCAAGGCTCGCGATCCTATATGTGCCCCGCAACATCCTTCATGTATTTCTTTCAAGACATGAGTTCCTTCGTCTTTAGAGACGCATCGCAAGTGAGGCCCCACCAAAGACTTTTTGAACATGATAAAGCCGACTTCAAAATATTTGCTTAGATATCGAGTGACCCTTTCTGCCTCCTGCTTATCTCCCATAGGTACTCGACCCTGTAGGAGTTTATGAATCGATTTTCTCCAGTCGTCCTTTTCCTCGACTTCCACCGTCTCGCCCAACACGCTTCCTCCAAGTGCATGGTGGTGATAGAACTTCCCATCTTCCCATCATTCGAGCTCGCAATTCTCGCGAGCCAATCCGCTCGTTTGTTTTCCTCTCGAGGGATTTGTGTTAGCTCAAACTTCTTCAGGCTCTGCACAAGACTTTGGATTTCTTCGACATATTTCATCATTCGTTCTTCCTTGATCTTGCAACTTCCTAGCACTTGTCCAACAACTAATTGTGAGTCGGAATGTGCCACAACTTCTGACGCTCCTCCGCCAATTGCGAGTTGAATTCCTTTGATTAACGCCTCGTATTCTGCTTCGTTATTTGAGGCCTTAAATCCCATTCTAATGGCAAAGTCGAGTTGTTCGCCCTTGGGTGATACGAGGACGATCCCCAGACCGGACCCTTTGGCCGCTGAGGAACCATCGACGTGCATGATCCATTTTTTTTCTACTCCCTTGGTACCTTCTTGGATGAAATCAGCCAGGGCTTGAGCCTTTATGGCTCGCCTTGGCTCGTACTTCATGGAATATTCGCTCAGCTCGACCGCCCACTTGACGAGTCGGCCCGATACCGTGGGTCGGCCCAATGTTTCACCCAGCTGGAAGTTCGTCCTGACCACTACCACATGATTCAGAAAATATGGCTTTAGTTTTCTAGCTGTTATCACCAGTGTCAAGGCGGCTTTCTCGATCTCAGAATATCTCGTCTCTGCACCATGAAGAACTCGACTGGTGTAGTAAATTGGCTATTGGACACCTCCTTCTTCTCGCAATAACACTGAACTTAGTGATACTGAACCCACAGATACATAAAGCACCAACTCGTCGTCGGGCTCTGGTTTTGTCAACAAGGGTAGCTCGCCCAAGAATTCTTTTAATTTTTCGAAGGCCATTTGCGCTTCGTCACTCCACGATAAGGCCAATTTCTTCTTGAGTAATTTGAAGAACGGGAAGCTTTTTTCTGCGGCTCGAGCAATGAACCTGCTCAGCCCCGCAATTCGTCCCGTCAGAACTTGCACATCTCTTATATTTCTTGGTGGGGTCATGTCGAGTATGGCTTTCACCTTTTCCCGGTTTACCTCGATTCCTCGCTCTGTGACGATATACCCCAGAAATCGACATGCCTTTACTCCAAAGGCACACTTGCTTGGGTTCAGCTTCTTCCCGAACGCCCTAAGGGTTTGAAATGTTTCCCTTAAATCGTCTGGATGTGAGGTCGAGGACTTACTCTTCACCAAGATATCATCCACATACACCTCGGTATTTCGCCCGATCAGAGATTTGAACATTCGATCCATCAACCGTTGGTAGGTTGCTCCAGCATTCTTAAGCCCAAAGGGCATGACGACATAGCAGTACGTCCCTTTACTCGTCACAAAACTCACCTTACTCTGATCCTCCGGGTACAACGGAATCTGGTGGTATCCCTGAGATGCATCCATCAAACTCAGTAATTCACAACCAGCTGTAGAGTCGGCGAGTTGATCAATTCGCGGTAAGGCATAATGATCTTTTGGGCAGACCAAGTTTAAGTCACGAAAATCGATGCACATGCGCCATTTGTTTAGTGCCTTTTTCACCATTACGGTGTTGGATATCCACTCGGGAAATTGAATTTCTTTGACGTGCCCTGCTCGCAGCAACTTATCCACCTCGACTTCAATGGCTCTGTCGATTTCTTCACCATGGCGTCTAAGTCATTGTTTTACTGGCTTTCTGAGGGGGTCGACGTTGAGTCTATGCTCCATAATAGTGGGGTCGATCCCCGTCAACTCTTCAGGGGTGAAGACGAAAACATCCCTGAACTCCCTTAGTAATGTGATGAGTTGGTTTCGCAGCTCGTCTTTCAGATCTTTCCCGACCTTAGTGGTCTGTTCCTTCGTTTCTCCAATTTGTATTTCCATTAGCTCCCCATGTGGCTCGAGATCACTATTCCTTGGCCTTTTCTCGCTGAACATTGGTTTCTTTCCCTCCTTAACTTCGGCCCGCTGGTTGGTTTTTACAGCGATCTGATAACAAGTCCTCGACAACTTTTGATCGCCTCGAGCTTCTCCAACTTGGTCTTTGACTGGGAACTTTAACTTCATATGGTAGGTCGAAACTACCGCCTGGAATGCATTAAGTGCTGGCCTCCCCAAGATCACATTATAAGCTCACTCGACATCGACCACCACGAATCTCACCATTTTTACCTTCCGCAAGTCACCTTCCCCTAGGACGACAGCGAGCATGGTTTCCTCTAGGGGCGCGACCTCTGACCTGTTGAAACCGAATAGTGAGGTATGGAGGGGTGTGAGTTGTATGTCGAGTTCCATCCTTTTGAGACAATCGTAAAAAATCACATTCACAGAACTCCCAGTGTTGACAAACACTCTCTGCACTTCATATCCCGATACTTGGGCAGTTATCATCAATGCATCGTTATGAGGCCTTTCAACTTCTCCCACATCTGCTGGACCGAAGTTCATTACCGGTCCGTTCTCGTCGACTTGTTGTACCTCGACTTTCCCATGGCGCCCTCGGGCATACGCCTTCCTTGCTCGATTTGAATCCCCATCAGTTGATCCTCCAAATATCATATGTATGATTCCCCTTTTCTGTGGGAGCTCCTCTTTCTCGGGCGTTCTCGCCCTTTTGCGAGGACTCCGGCTTCTCTCTCTCCTTCTGCTCGACTTCTCCCGATCTTTGTATATGAATTCCTTCAGGTGTCCTGCCTTAATCAGCCTTTTGATCTCGTCCTTAAGATGTCTGCAGTCGTCAGTATTGTGCCCATAATCCTTATGAAATCGGCAGTATAGATTACTCTTTGGCCTCATTGGCCCATCCTTCCTCGTCTTGGGCCATCTGACAGCATTGTCGTGAATTTCTCTTTCCATTACCTCCAAAATTCACGCTTGAGGGGCCGACAAGGGGGTGTATTGAGTTGGCCTCCAACCCTAGATCGCCCCCTCTCTCTCTGCTCGTGGGGATCCCTTCCTCTCCCCAGTCGAGGAAACTTTCTTCTCCCTTCTCTCATCTCGATGGTTCGCCTTACTTTCTTTAATTGTTCGTGAGAAATCAATCTCGGCCTCTTCGACATTCATATACTTCGCGTATCTCCCTAGTACCTCATCGAATGTTCTTCCCGGGCGTTTTGCCAAAGAATTCCTGCACAAGCTCGGTAGCAACCCTCGGGTCAAACCTCGTGCCTTGATTTCCTCCGACGCCCTGGGCACTTCGACGCATGCTCGCGTATATCTCGCCACAATCTCATAGCGACTCACCTTCTTTTTGTTGGATGGCCATTAAGGTTAGATACGATTTCTCTTGCGGCCTGACACTCGCGAATTGATTGAGAAAGATCGCACTGAATCCCTCAAAATCTTTGATGGCTCCCGCTGGTAGTTGATGAAACCCATCCTGCGCAGATCCCCGCAAAGTCGTTAGGAAAGCTCGACATTGCACCGGGTCATTATAACGATGCAGGACTGCCATAATCTCCAAAATCCTCATGTGACGAGATGGATCGGTCGACCCGTCATAACTTATGTTTAGATCACGAAAACCTTGTGGTAGGTCGGCATCCAGGATGTGCTGTGAGAACAGATGTCCCCTTGAGCCTCAAACTTTCCTCCCCTCGACTCGGGCCTGTAAATCACGAACTTGGGCCAGCAACTACTCCAATGTCTCATCCCTCGCCTGCGGATTGGCAGTCCTAATGGAGGACGCTTCCTCCTCCACCCTCCTGATTTGCCTATCATTGGACTGGGCTTGTTGCTCGTGATCAGGGGGTGGCAACTCGACCCTATGTTGATCGACTCTAGGTAGCTCCCTCCTAGGTTGTTCGACCCTGGGTTGCTCGACTTGCACCTGTTTGAGTTGAGCTGCCACCGCCTCCGCAATCATTCTCTGCATCTCATTCCTCGTCATACTCACCATTTTCTCCTCGACTTGGGGTGGTGGTCTTGCCCTTGTTCCAACATTTCAGACTGCTTTCCCAAGCTCAAAGCCATTTTGGCCAACTCGTTCTCATCAGTTCCCGTGTCGGTGGCCCTTGTGTGGCTAGATCCTCCTTGTGTTAGCCCTTGAATCTTCACCCCAGGTGGTGTGATGGGTGTTTCTTCCTCCCTATGCGCTCCCGACGGCGCGTGCACTCCGAACGGTGAGAAACCGAGCACCTGAAGTGGTGGTCTAGGGCCAGGAATCGGCGGCGGCCGTTTATCGGTCCATGCTGCCCGAAAATCCTCGTTCAAATTTCTCGACAATCCCTCCTTCTCCGCCATGTCAAACAGATTGGAACTGGGTGCAAAGCTCTTATTTCCTTCAAGAACTCCCCACAGACGGCGCCAATTTGATGGGTCTCTTCCTAGATCTGGATTGAACCGGTGGAACTGAGCTCCGGTCTGTTCGAGTTGTCTCCAAGTCGTCCGTGGACCGCTATGAATACCTGCAAGAACTCAAACCGGAAGCGTTTTCCGGTGAAGAGCCTCCGACGCTCAAGTCAGTGCGAGAGAAGAGGAGGAGCTCTGCTCAGTAGGAGCAGCAGCTGAATAATGAATGGAGAGAATGAAAGTTAGGGTTTGGGGTTACCTCAGCTCCCTTATATAGGGACGGAAACACTTACTTGAAGTACCTAAAATGCCCTGGCCGACTTACATGAAGTGTCCAAAATGCCCTGGTCAGTTGGTATTCTGCCCACTCCTGAGTCAGCATCTAGATCCTTCTTTATCTCATGCGAACTTAGTCTACCTTGGAGGTTTCCTTTATGTTGCATCTAAGTGTATCAAGTCATCGGAGGTCTTGTAAGTCGACTTGGGACCCTGCCAAATCGACCTAGAGTTATCCATACGCTCAGGACTCCTGGATTGTCTGCTCGTATCCTTGAGAGAAATCATCTTATACTAAGTCGACTTCCTGAAGTCGTCTTGAGACCGTTTATCAGGCCGATGATGGTCTTCCAATAGCTGAGAGGCCAAGTCGACTTTAAGAATGTCGACTTAATGATGTCGTCACTCTTGATTGCTCGGCCGGGCAGTTAGCATTTGATTCGGGCTATGATAATAGGGCTATATCACCCATGAACTAAATTGAAAATATATTCAACATTTATGATCTATAGTTTATCGAATTTTTTTTAAAAAAAAAGAACTATTTTCTGGCAGGTACCGCCATTTCTGGCGCAGACACCTCTTCCAAGGCTGCCGCCCCTTCCACCGCCGTCGGTGGGGTCTCAGGCCGCAGGTTCTCACAGTTTTTTTTTTCGCCATTAGTGGCGGATCTTTAAGCTCGGTTCTTTCGGACTTGTTCGAAGGCAGAGCTTCGCCGTGCATATAGTGCAGGTGAGGGCCTCGTCGAGAACGTCAGCAGCGGTAAGAATGGCGTCGTCGCCGCCACCTGGAGAATGGAGAATATGACGTCGAGCTGTTCGAAAGGAAGGTGGTGAACGCTCGCCGGCGTTGGGGACTGAACGTTGGTTATGGTGGCTCTTGGTCAGCTGAACGGGCTGTCGTAGGCGGCGGAAGTGCTGACGTACATGGATGGCGACGGGAAGAATGGCGTGTACGGAGGCGCACAGTCGAGGCATCACCGACAACAGCGGAATGGCTGATGGTTGCCGGCGGTGTGATGGCTGGGTGGTCGTCGGCGGCGAGATGGTTGGTTGGTCACCGGCGGAGAAGTGCAGCATATATGGAGGTGGTTTGTGTGTGTGAGTGCGTGTGTTTGTGTGTGTCAGGCGTGGTATGAGTTTGTGTGAATATGTGTTATGTGCGTGTGGGCGTGTGTTGGGTGTGTATGTGTGCGCGTGTTTGGTGTGTGTATGTGATGAGGAGGGTGGTGACGTGGTGTGCTGTTTTGGCATGGGTCCCAATTGATAAGTTAGATGAGTAATGGTAATACCTATAATACCCTTAATGAGTGTAATATTTTGACTTTTTTTTAATTGTTGGATCATCAAATCAAACGGCTACGATTTATACTTATTTCTTTCCTGGGACACCATTCTAATGGGAGCGCGACCCTATATATATATATATATTATTTATGTGTATTATTATGTATTATTACCGTTATTTATTTTATCGAACCGTTCGATCCTCCGAGCCCGAATATTGATTATTAATAATGAACCGAGAATAGGCTCGAGCCTCAAACTCGTACTCGCGCACCCTGGGCCAAGGACTCGCGCCCCTAGCCCATACTCAGACCGACCCGCTCTCGTTGCTTGGATGAGAAGCTAATTATCTAAACCTAGGTGTATTTAATTGTGATTGTTTTCCCTCAACTCGATAAACACTTCGACAAACCCTAATTTTTCACGCAGTTTTCCTCAAATCTGCTACATCTCTCTATCTCGCTATTCTTTTTTGCCGTATCATCCCCATCATCGCAGCATAAGAAAGAGGAGAATTCTTCATCACTTCTAACCTCTCTCACCCTCGCGTCCGGTATCATAAAAGAAAAAGAAAAAAAAATTGTTGCCTGCTCTCTTCTCTCGCGACCAGCAGAGGGAGAAATCGCTCGCCATCATCCGATCACTCTGTCATCACCAAATTCGTCGCAAGGAGCAAGTCGATCATCACCATCTCCAAACATCATCTCTCTCGAAGCCATCACTACCGCTTTGCTCTTCCAGCCCTGGCTGCTCCTCCGCGAGTCCTCCACCGGTGAGACCCAGCCGTTGCAACCATCACTGACGACAAGACCGGGCAACTCCATCACAGCCCTGCTGTTCGTGAACTTCCGGCCACCATCATCATCATCCCGCCATCAGCACCTCGCAAGCAGCACCACAAACTTGAGACCTCCATCGTCGAGTTCTACTTCGTGAGTTGTCAACGTTCAATTATTGCTGAGCGTTTTCCGTTGCTGCCAGCGCCAAAGGACCCCAACGCCACCAGTTGAACCTCGTTGATATCCGTTGATCACGACCGAAGCCCTCCCGATTTCAGCAGAACACCGCGAGCCTTTTCCCGTTATCCATGCTTTGTCGGTGAGCCAAACATAGCCGTCGAGTTCCATCGAGTCCCATCGGAGTGCCGAACGTAGCCGTCGAGTTCTGTCGAGTCCCGTCGGAGTCCCGAACTTGATCGCTGCAGCCCCGGCGGTCCCTTGATTCCATTAGCAAGCCCGTTCGACTCTTACGTTGCTCATTACTCGTACCTCGTCCCGAGAACGGTACCCGGGCTAACCCTCGACTTAATTAGTTCGCTCCTATATGTGTTTAAGTGCTCATATTTGTGCGTTATTTGCTGAATGTGAAATATTAGAATTAATTATGTGTCGTAGACATGTATTTGAGTGAATCTTAATATATATATTTGCCGTTGGATATCAAAGTGATTGCCGTCACTTTGAAAAATTTTCAAACTGAGGTTAATGTGTTTTTTCCCGTGGAATTGTTGTGGATTACTGGACTTTGAAATGTCCTTGATGCAATGGTTTTGACCTTGTGTCGTTTCGAGGTGTATATTGTAAGATATGAAATTTGAAAATTATATTGCAACCCATTTTTGTTAAAATCACTATAATTTGTGTATTGCTCCAAAAATATGATTTTTGGATGTGGTTATTTTGCTGTTATATTGCTTGTAGTTAAAATTTGAGATATTTATATGGCTTGTAGCCTCGTCAAAACTCGAAAACTAGTTCTGGGTTGTTTTTTGATAAATTCATATAAAATCGAGTTCTTGTCCAAAATGGATAAGTTTTGGGTATGTTGTTGTTCTTCATGATATATTGCTGCTGTAAAAATTTCAAATTTAAATTCAGACTGTAGCTATTTTAAATGATTTAATTCGATTTATGGTCAGATTTTGCTTAAATTATTTAAAATGGTTAGGAGCATGTTTAGGGGCTTTCCTTTGATTATAATGTGTGTTTTTCAGTATTTTATATACTGTAAAGTTTTGAATTAGAAAGTCCAAGCCTAACTCTTTATGGTCCCATTCTTATAATTTTGAACTAGTCCCTTTTAACCCTTTTTGGCACCGGTTGGCCTTAAAGGCATACCCTTGACCTGTTGACCCTATTTTTGTGTCAAACCCTCATTGTCTGTTGTTATATGATTTAATAATTGGTTGGTCTAGTGTAGGAGTCGTCCTAATGTTCCAACTCCACAACTTCCACGAGTTTCTTAGTCGATGTGATTCGACTAAGTATAATTCTTGCTATCTGTGTAAGAGTCGAGATAGTTGCTTATGGAACTGTCTTGACTTATGTAGGTGTCTGACGAGCAGTGTCTCAACCACCTACAATTTTCGGGTTAATTTTCTTTATCATCTTGCTCTAGGTGGGTTATTCAAAATTGTCTATGCCTTGAATGATAATTGCTTTATTTATGTGGGTATGATCAATGTATTAATGTGAGCATGTTACCTTCGATGTGAGCTATGCCGGCCATCGAACGGTTATCCCTGTAGCTATAGAACGTACCCCGCAAGGGTAATCTCCACGTTTGTCCTTTGCTAAGGACCACGTCATCTGTAAGACCTTGGCAATGTTCCCTTGCCGGTGATGGATATCCTATCTAAGCACTAAGTGCGTGCTGTGACGGTTGAGCCTCCTGCTATTTGGGCACCCCATTTATTTCGCCGAAAGGCATACGAACAACAGTCTATTGTTATCGGTGTGCACATGAGAATACGTGGTTAGGAGATGAGATGTTTATTGATTATGTTCATACTGCGACCATGCCATTTAATTTCACGTACTTTACTATTGTTCATGTGCATAGTAGTGAGCACTACAGTATCATGCTCACTCCCACCTGCTCTTCATGGATACAGGTTAAACAGGTGTTGGCTGACGAGACAAATGACGAGTGGTGTTGGTCTTTGACTGACTTCATTTAGTTTATTCCGCATGCTAGTAGACTTGGATTTATTTATGCTTATTTATGACTTGGGAACTTTGGTATTTATGATTTATGACTTTGGAATTTTGAGAACTTTGAATTGAGAGATGTTCCCTTATGAATAATTTGGATGAACTTGGGATTTATGACAACATTGGATTTATGATTTACGTTACTTATGTGATTTAGTTCGAGTAGTGCCGCATATTTATAAAAAGGTTCCGAAAAATTTTAAGTTGACTTTTGAAAAGCCTTTGACTTTCGTCAAATAAAAGTTGGGCGTTACTGTTTGGTATGAGAGCCAGTCTGCGTTTCTGGAGACTGCTCAACGTGATTTATATGCATTTGTTGAATATATGAGTATTAGCATTGACTACTCATCTTCGTCATGCCGCACCGCTTGAGGTATGTAAGTCATAAGTAATGTTGAGATTATTTATGAAATGAATTAATTATTTAAATTATGTGTTATGTCTTGAGGCTTAGGAAAAATCTCTCCACCTTCGATTGGATAGAACTCTAGTGTTTGTGGGAGAACGCTAGAAAATTATAGCCATGCTAAACTCTTTTCGTCCTATTCAATGTAGATCAATGGCTCGCCAAACCCGCAATAGCAATCAGTAGCAACCGCCTCCTCCGCCTCCACCTCCTCCTCAGCAGCACGCGCTAGGTAGAGATCCCATTACCCAGTCCGTGCTTGATTTCCGAAACATGCATCCACCGGCGTTCACCGGGGTTGAGGGCTCCAAAGCTATGGCCGAATGGCTTCAGCAGCTAGAGAGTATCTTTGATATGCTATTCACCACTGGTGAGGTGAAAATCCGTTGTGCTTTGTTCATGATGACCGGAGATGCTAGGACTTGGTGGACTGACTATTGGAGGCTTCGTCCTCGTGATGAGAGGGATGCCTTGACTTGAGACCAGATGGTTGCTATGTTGGGTTCTATTAGGAACGTCAAACAACATGCACAGTATTGAACTTTATCGAAATAAATCCTAACGCATCGGAATCTATAGTTAGGATATGGACGTTTACCTTTTAAAATTTTTGCCGACT